CATGTGTGAATGGATGTATAAATGATGTGTGAATGGATGTATAAATGATGTGTGAATGGATGTATACATGTGTGAATGGATGTATAAATGTCGTGTGAATGGATGTATACATGTGTGAATGGATGTATAAATGATGTGTGAATGGATGTATGGAGCAATTTGGGGTTAAATGTCTTGCCCAAGGACATATCGACATGGCCCAACGAAGCCGGGGATCCAACAGCCAATCCTCTGATTAAAGGACGACCTGCTCTGAGCCACAGTCGCCCCAGACTCAGAACTTCTAACGGAATAGCAGATTATCATTTTTTCAAATCCTTTCGATTTAAAACGCCTAAATAAAAAAAACAGATCATACAATACAAAGGGGAATACAATAAACAATGTTATCTGTATTTCTTTTGTTATGTATGCATTTACTGGTTCATAGTTTTTTTGACAAAACTGACACACAGTCTGTCCCGTCTACATGGTTGCTATTTTCATTCTTAAAAAACTGTCTGGAGCAACATAAGGCATATATACGTATATTTAAATATAAAATATGTGTGTGAGACTCATTTTATGTGAAGAATTGGTGCATAAATGTCATTTTTGGAGCTGGTTGGTGTAAGAAGGGTAAGAAGTAAGAGAGAGCATTGCTGTACCTGTGGAAAAGGACAGATTTGACCAGTGTCACCACGTCTCGACTGGCGTTGTAACCTGCACATACGATGGCCACGTGGATGGTCTGTGGAGATTATGAGAAGATTCAAGGATTAGAGTTAAGGATTATAAGGAATAGATAGAAACATGTTAGAAAAGAGAGAAATTAATTCTACATGTAGCAGAGAAGAAAATATATTTGCAGATTTGAATTAGCTGAGTAGAAAAAGAGAAAAACACATCACTTGTAGATTTAAAGCACAAAGTATTGATTTACTTAAAGTGTTTATAGCAAATCATACTGTGGAATATTCATTATCTTACATCAAAGTTTAATGGGAACAGTTTTGATCAAGCATAGTAATACGATGTGAGGGTCCTGGGACAGAGGATGTTGCATATGTACAGATTGTAAGGTGAGGCAAATTTGTTGATTTTGGGCTATACAAAAATAAACTGAATTGAATTAATACCAAGTCAACTACTTATGGATTGTTGCTTTGCAGCCACACATTCTTACACATTTGAGTCTTTATAGACAAGAAACTCTGAAGTTCACCGTGTTGTTCAGAGCACCACTTTGCAGAGATCTACATCAAGTCTCATTGTTGTTTGTAGTCCAGCCAATGACGGTAGTGTCCTCTGTAAACGTCACAACAGAGTTCTCTTCATGTTTGGTGTAGCAGTCGTGGGTGTACAGAGTGAACAGGAGGGGGCTGAATACACAGCCCTGGGGGGCTGTGGTATTCAACACTAGAGTGGAGGAGGTGCTGGGGTCTGTTTGTGAGGAAGTCTAAAAAAACAGTTTCAGAGGGAGGTTCTCAAGCCCAGAGTGCTAACTTCACCAATCAATTTCATGGGGGAGATTGTGTTGAAGGCTGAGCTGAAATCAACAAACATTCTGAAGTGGGTGTTGTTATTTTCCAGATGAGTGATGGCTGAGAGGAGAGCAGTGGAGACAGTAGCCTCTGTGGATCTATTGGCTCTGTATGCAAACTGGTGAAGGTCCAGGCTGACTGGGATGTTATTTTTGATGAGCTGGAGAACCAGTTTCTTAAAGCACTTCATCAGAAGGGGGGTAGCCACAAGGTGATTGTCATTTAGACTGGACACTGCAGACTTTTTAGGTACAGAGACGATGGTGTCTCTCTTAAAGCAGGTGGAAACTCTCTCCTGTGACATTGATATGTTGAAAATATCCAGTAAGCTGGACGTTCTTAGTACAGGACTAGGGCTGTTATCAGCAGCTTTACTCATATTCACTCTCATCAGGGTTTTCCTCACATCCTCTGAGGATACTGGCCGGTCCTCTGGAGGCAGAGCAGACTTGAAAGGTGACTCTTTGTTCAGGATATCAAAGAGAGTATAAAAGGTGTTTAGCTCATCTGGCAGCATGGCCTCACACATGATGGGGAGCTCCTGCTTTTATAGCCTGTGACATTCTGGATCTCCTGCCACATATCTTTAGTGTTGTTGGTGTTGAAGTCTCTTTTGACTCCTCTTTTGACTCCTCTTGATGCCAGCTTTCAGTCTTGCTCTGGCAATGCTGTATGCTTCCATGTCACCTGACTGAAAGGCAGCTTTCTCTGGATAGAGCACTCACCTCTCCATTCATCTCCCCTCCCTGCCCCACAAACAACGGCGTCCGTGTTAGACAGACAGATACAGGGACCGCATGTCTCATTCCAGCTGAGCAACAGAAACAAGAGCAGTTTCTTCTCAGCCAGTTTGCTGCAATTTGGCCCCATCTAAAGTTAAAGCATATGCCGTACCAATTTTGTCCTGATCGGTCTTTGCACTACCTTTGGTGAAACATTTTCTCAAGGGAGTCAATCGAGCACCACAGTGGGATTCCTCTGTAGGGCGTGAGGGTGTACTCCACCAATAATGCATAATCGACTTCCCACTCTTCTGCAGCAGCAATGCTGTGTGATGAGTATGGAACAACACCCTGTTTTTCTCAGTCGCGGCCTCCCTGCCGCATCACGGGTGGCAATTCACGGTTTGTGAACTGGTGTATTTTGTCTGCTTGTGGACCTTCATGTCACAGTGATGCTTAGACTACATGAGCTTGGCCCTTAACATATAAGCGAAGCCCATACAACATATAAACGTTAGTTACCTACTGTAACTCTGGATTCAATGAGTTTAAGCGTAGCCCTGTAAACTGTAGGCCCATCCGGCTGAAGAAATGCTGGTTTCAACTGGGAGCAGAACTATGGTTGCACAGCTGTAATATGTCGCAAGTCCGGACATCAGGAGGCCCGTGTAGAGTACAAGGGTGCAAAAAAATCTTCACGACTCTTAGAGGCATTCGCCTGTACTCATGTAATCTGTAGTTACTATAGGTGATTAAGGTTTAGCAGGTGTAGTGTTATGTGTAAAGTAACGTCTGACATCACACACACCTGATCACTCCGCTCTGCATGTCGATAAAGTAGTACCATTACATTACAGCAGGGTCACTTATATCGATATCGACACCAATACTGATATTGAATATCGGTCCAATACAGACTCAAATAGCTGGATCGGGTCTTGGTGACAATAGACGGATCTGGTGTCGGATACCATTATTTAAATAAATAACAATTCACTACATTTACATCTATGGAAAAAATGACATATAAAGACGCGTGTTGCAGCCCTATGCTGTCATTTCAGTAGAGGACGAAGAGATGTCTGGCAGTATCCTTTTCCTAAGCTCCGCCTAGAAAAATGTTGCGCCATTTATTTTGAATTTTGTGAAAAACTCATTTTTGCAAACTCCTACGTGCTTACCAAATTTGCTGTAGATTATTATTGGATCCAGATCATCAAAAGTTATCAAAAGCTTTTTGATATCTCTTAGTGTTTACAAGATATGGACCAATAAACTTCTTAGGGGTGTGGCTTATATATCAATACATAACTTCTCAACCATTTGTCCTAAATTCACCAAATTTGCAGCATATGTGCACATTGCATCCTGTGACATACTCTGACATTTTCATTCCATTCAACCAATAGGGGGCGCTACAGTAAACCCGCTATTTTGTGCATTTTTGTCACTTTTTGCATTTTTCAACCTTTGTACTTTAACGAACTGCTCCTACAGAATTTATGCGATCGACTTCAAATTTGGTCAGGATGCTTTTAGTACCTTTGTGATGAAAAGTTATCAAATTCGTGAGTTTTCATGGAAGAACCTTGACGTGGCGTGGCAGCCATTTTTCCCCATTCGGCATGAAAAAGGAAGTTGTTATCACTCCAAGGTACATTATCCAATCTGCACAAAACGTCTTATGCATGATGCTACTTCAAGCTTGAGCACATTTCAATGCTAAAATTTTCGGATAGTCATTGCGCCACCTGCTGGCAAAAGGAGATGACACATTTTATACTTATATTTATTACTCCTAGCCTAGCTTTGACACATTGATGATGCATCATCATGAATATTGTGACTTTTCGTTGAACGCTGTTGCCGTGGCAACGCATCATTTGCCATGAAAAAGTAGGCTGATTGTTCAGTGGCATTCAGTACATGTGTCATAGGTGATGGGAAGACAATATTTCAATAGAGCAGCCCCAGCGCTACATTTCAGGTACATTTATGAAACTTGGTAGGCACATGTATCTCATGGAGACTTCAAAAAATGTATCTTGAGACCATGCTGTAAAACCGTACCAGAAGTCGGCCATTTAGATTTTTGTGTCATTTTTCCATATATTTTGTCCTATTTCTAGTCGCTATACTTTAACGAACTCCTCCTATGGACTTTGTCTGATCCACTTCAAATTTTGTCAGGACAATCTCAAGACTGTTGTGATTAAAGGTTATCAAAAGCTTTACGTTTGACGGAATGGCTTAGCCGTAGCGGGCGGCTACTTTACGTGATTCCCCATGAAAAAAGCTGATGTAACTCAGCTGGACTTGTTCCAAACTTCACATGCTTGATAACACTCATGGCCTGAGGATGTCTACAAGCTGATTTTCAAAAATACTCACAGCGCCACCTGCTCTCGAAATGAAATATGCGTTTTCTGACAAACATCATCTGATTTACATGACTTTTACACGATGTGGTTTACACTTGATATAGAACAACATAATGCATGTTTGCACGTGTTATGTAGCACCGCACAGCGGATACAGGAAGTGGTGGACTATTTGCAAGGCATATTTTCCAGCAGCAGACGGACTCACGGACACGCTGTCCGACGGTCGCAGATGTTCTCGGGCCGTGCAGGCCGGAGTCCCGCCGGCACCCCCAGGATGCGAGGGCCCGTTCATCGCTACTCGCAGCTTTAATTATTATTATGATTACAAAGACTGAAATTTCAAATGATAATAATCTTCTTTGATTGAAGGTATTTACAATTCATTAGCTAAATAAAGGTATGTTCTTCATCAGTTCATCTCATCATGTTTTTACATTACATTACACTCATTTAGCTTGTGTGTAGAGAATATTACAGAAGATAAGGAATCACAATCACAATATTGGTCTAAAAAAACAACAATTAGATCACTTGCCATATCGTTCAGCCCTAAATCTATTGGATCAATTTAAATGTAAATTCTGACGAGTACTGTGTGAACCCATGAGCTTGTTTCATAGTACTGAGCAGTATCCTGAATCTGAGCCAATGCAGAGACCACCGAAGCAGAGGCTGTGTTCCTGGGAGTGGTGTGTTACTGATGCTATGACACAAGTCTCACCTCACACTTATCCACCACTGGCTGCTGCACACAGTCTGAGCTGTTTCCCACCACCGCAGCAGCCTTCTGGCCCTCATTATCACCGGTGCCCTCCTCTGAATGGGTTCGACTTTGGTTGCTGCGGTGACCACCGTTTGGATGGCGTGCAGACGGGCCCCTGGGGGGCCGGCTCAGCTCCCGGCGCAGAGCACGGTTCTCCTCCTCCACTGCCCGGACCCGCAGCTCTAAGGCCTGTCGCTCGCCAGCTCCGCCCACCGGCGATGATTGGGCTTCCAATGGAGATAAGTGGAGGGGTTTCACTGTGGGTCAGAGACGGGGAAGAAGTGATTCAACATGAGGTACTTTAACGTAGTTAACCTATGTGTAGGCTATGTGGATCATTTTATATTGATCAATAATATGATATACTAACATGATGTATCAATAATATAATATACCAATATGATACATCCATAATATGATATATCAACATGACATTCCTATCATATCATATACATAAAGACTGTGTACTTTGTTTTCAGAGTTTGACCCATGTCCTGTCCGCTGGCTAAGTAATTAAATGCTCTTCCATGCCAGAGAGTGGCAGTAGGTAGCGCAATAATAATTTAAGACAGAATTAAATGATGCGTGGGAGAGGTTATGGTGAGAAGATAACACAACATATCTGTGTGAGATAAGCTGTTCAAGCATGACTGCTATAAAAACTAAAAACAGAGCGAGACAGAGCTGTTGAGGAAGAGCTTCGTGCGAGCCTTTCTTGTGTTCATCAAAACAGGCCCAGATTTCACACTGAGTAAGGATCAACAAATTGAGAGACTGGTCATTAAATTGTCAGCATATACTGTATGCTGCATTATGCTACAAAGCGTCATTTTGTAACTTTTTGGGTTGTTGGTGTGCCGCGGGATCTTTTTAATGTAAAAAATGTACCGCGGCTCAGAAAAGGTTGAAAAACACTGATATTGGGGACCATCAGACCACCAGAGGAAAGGTAAATATGGGAATGAACACAAGTTTTGCTCTACATCTACTACACTTTCACTGGACAATGTTACACCTTCTTCCATCCCAGCAGTCAGCTGCGTTTACTGGTGGAAGTGCTCAAATCGTCATAGGATTTCTCTATTAAAGGGGAATTCCCCATAAACGACTTGAGTATGTGGGGCTTTACATTTAGGATCACAGTGTTGATGTATCTCAAGACGAAGAGTACACAACTTTCAATCAATACTGTGAGTTGAGCAGGGCAGCCCATACTCTGCATTTAACCCGAGTCCAGAGTCACCTGCTCTGCTCTGTTCTGGCTGCTTCAGTGTGAACAAGCAGCTCTGAATGCTGCAGACAGAAGGGAGAGGATGAAGCTCTCTCTCCTCACTACATCTCAGAAACCTCAGCTCCAAAAGGGGTGGGGGGATCATTACAGAGTACAACAAGTTCTCCTTTCACAATGTCACTGGGGAAAAGTGACAGCCTTGAAGAACTCCACATAGTACAGTATGCCAGGGACTCAAGAGGCCTTATAGCTCCAATTCCATGTATTGATTAATCACATTGGGAAGTAGAGGACCTTCTAGCATACCATCTGTTGCTTTCACCCAACTAGGAGCGTTGGTAGTCCCCTTTGACACAGGCCATCAGTTTAACATCCCTGTGCTGAACTAATGTATCAGTGGACATTTGTCTTGCTTTTTGCATGTGTAAAGATGCTAAATGATGCTAAAATCAATTGAACAAATGTTTTGGCTTAGTTTGTGCTCTAACAAAGTGTGTACATGAATCTACACATTTGAGTTTTTCTGCAGTTTATTGTCCCCTGTGACCATAATAGAGAGAGGCAGGCAGTAAGGGTCCTTTCAACCATGGAGGGCCTCTGAGCCCTCTCCACCAGAACCAAAGCACCTCCTGGACTCCATTTAGTACAAACTGTAATTAATCTGCAGAGTGGGTTTTCTGGGTCTAATCCCACTGAACCGGCTATTTGTTTGTGGTACTCACAGATGGCATATGGCATTTTCAGGGCAGCACCTGGTCTTTTATGCAGCCAAGCCAATTCATTTGGCTTTTAGTTATTTTTCATGAAGCTCTTCATCTACATGCAAATAACAGCCTCAGTAAAAACACATGAATGAATGTAATTTACATGTAGGACATGTTTTATCACTAACCAGGTTAATAATGCATGCTTAGCTTACATGTGTTGAACATTTAAAATCATAAACAGTAAAACATTTAATTTAACAAATGGTCAATTGTTGTGTGGGCATGTTTTATGTCAGTAAAAAAAGGATGATGGACAGTAGAGAGAATGCAGCTTTAACACATGAAGCACTGACTCACTTTTCAGACCTGAATGTTGAGTTCACATCAACCACTAATCTTTGTTCCTTTGAGTACCAATCATTGAACATATACATATTTTAAAAATAGAGCTTTATTTTTAGCTAAATGTTGTAATGCAACTAAAAACCCACTAATATTAATAATATAACACAGAAGTGTGCTAAACATGATGAGATTGTTTTTAGCTTCTGCTGGAAGTTCAGCCATGTCAATGGAATAAGGCTGAAAAGAGGAACAAAAGGCACAACACCATGCATCCACAGGGCTCTATCATTTCAAATGGACAAAATAGTTTTCCCCTGGACCCCCCTAGAGGGTCTGAGGCTCACCCACCACAGTCCCACTAAATCCTGTGTGAAACAATGAGGGCTGTGTGTCACTTGTCATGATACTGGGGTCACCATCTCATATATTGAAATACTGTTAGCAAAGTGATGTATATTGTGATCTAATTTGAGTAAAACTGTCATAGTATAAAGAACACAACTCCGTATGTATAAACTGAGTTAAATGAGTGCACTGGTTTCCTGCAGTCAGGACAGTGGGATCTGCATTGCAATGATCACAGTCATGATCACACTGTTAAATCCATGATCATCTTAGTCACAGTCTGCCAGGAATCTATTTTTGATTCAAAATCCATACACATTTAAAGAAACACAACATTGCAATACAACAACCAGACAAGTACAAGACCAGTAAACTACTCAGAAATTCTACACAAGCCCCTGACTAGATGTACCTAGTGAAGACAAAAGCTCATGTTCCTCTGCTCTTAGAGATGAAGAGCAGCTAACAGACACACTGCTACATGCTGAGTGATTCATGTCTGTTTGGAAGCCATGCTCCCAGTGCATTCACGTATGTAATTAGCTCTCACCACTGCAGTCAGGCAGATATCTGCTGGGCGGTGGCAACACATCCATCAAGCGACGGCATCTGTTCCCCTGGCAGACAGCTGGAGAGACCTCTACAAAAGTAAAACAGCCAGCCACCAATTTGTCCAATCGCTTGGATAAGGAGGACGGAGCAAATACCACCGAGAAACCGTAACTTGCACTTCATAGCGTCCTCCTGCATCGCACTACCTTCATAGCGTCCTCCTGCATCGCACTAAATGGGGATATCGGAGCACACTTTCCGCTAAAGCATTCAAAATAGAGAACTTGAGCGAAGACTTTTAAACCCAGCCTTCATTCACACCTTAACCCACCTGCAGGAACTGGAATTGAGGGTTTCGGAAGTAACACAAATAGTCAGATTCAGAAAGATGTGTCGGATGACAATCATCAATGATCACACAGATGTTTACCGTCAGCCCACAATGATAACATGGTTGTTCAGGCTAAAACCAGTGTTCGGTCAGGACACAGTTAGGAGACATCAGTTAAATCACAAAAATATCTTTGAAGATACAATCTGCTGCTGCTGGAGAACAGGTAGGTCGTGTGACCAAAGCATGGAGTAAAGTTTGGAGTGCTGAGGTCACAAATGGGCTAACTTTAATCAGGAAACAACGGCTGCATGTGTCGAAGACAAAATAACTAAATCAATCAAGTCAATTGTCAGAGCATAGTAGGAGTTGTAGTAGTAACAATATATTTAAGACCCTATTACCAATTTTCCAAAAATAATGCACATAATAAAGACTGAATACTAGATTAAATGGAGAAAACTGAAAAGCTGTAGGCTAAAGCTTAAGCTCATTCTACCCTTTTTACTGAGCAACGCATTCACTACAGAAACACAACAGAAACCTTTCATACATTATAATGTTCATACCTCATTTTTATGCTTGTTTACCACCTTTTTCTTATTTGCAAAGTGAAGTAGACATTCTTAATTCCTTTTCACAACCATCCACAAGTGAAGCCCTTTGACAGATAACATCTATTCTTTATTTGTTTTTTTTATACATACATATCCCCATTAATTTCCAACAACCTCTGGATACAGCGAAGCAAATGAATATGTTATGTTATCTATATACATTATCTGTGCAGTTTTGAGATCAACTAGATCACAAAAAATGTTACAGCATGGAAGTTCATCAATAGTGTTTGTTGGTTCAAAATAACCCGATCCATTTAAAATTGTGATTGGTGTTGGTTTTGTACGTGTTGACCTGCACACAGTAGGTCATGTATGCAGCTATGAGAGAACAAACAGAATATATGGTGACTTCTTATCCATGGTATCTTTAGTTTTGTGTCATATTGCGATGGTTTTCAACATTTTAGTTTCTACATTATTTATGTGTGATCCACAAATGTATTTTCATACACTCTATTTATCATAATTGTTACTTGATTATTGACTGGCTGATTGAAAAATATTCTAAACTTTGTTTTACTTAAATTTCATGAAACTTGTTGATACCAATCTAATTCTTTAAGACTTTCAGTTCTCCTTCAACTGTATTCAGAAGCAGTTCCAAACATTAATTAAAGCTGCAAGCAGCATTGATTGGGCCATCGCATATTCACGCACATGGAGGGTACTGGCAAGTCTCTGGTTGATGCGCCGTACATTTCTGTGACCATCATACACTGCGTGCACGAGTTAAATGGTATTTCCTGTGTCTACCAATGGCATAGCCAGTTCATTTTGCCAGGTCTTAAGCCTCGAATGTCTTGAGTGTACCTCTGAATACAATCATAACTGTAAATCTGTAAAAATCGACAAAAAACTGAATGTGTGTGAATGCGCTTCAGTGTTCGTAACATAACAGACCCTCAAAGTAAATGCAGGTCTCAGAACCAACTGTTTGTTTGTGCAGGTAGCTCTGACAATCACTGCTGAGTGACTCAAAGCTGAAAGATTGGAGGAGAAATAGGAGAATGTAGTTCCATGTGGGAAAAAAAACATTTTTGTAAAGAAATAAATTTAAGCCAAAAGGTGAGCCAATGTAGAATAATCTATCATATAAATTAGGCTGGGTGCAGTTTCATTTTATTAA